CAGGAAGGAGGAGCACTCATTCCTTGGTACGACCCACGATGGCCAGGATGTAAAGGAAGATGTTGATGATGTCAGTGTAGAGGTTAAGAGCTGCATAGACGTATTCCTCTGGGCTAATGGCCATCTTCTTGTTGCCCAGGAGAAGCTGGGTGTCCACAGCCAGGAACTGTGAAAGAACAAACAAGGCCTGAGTGTCGCATTCATGTTGTGCTTGAGGAAATAAAGCAAGCTGAACTGTTTCAAAGGATTGAAAATGATATTAATCTTTTACTTTCATTGTTTTTGAAGAGATGTGTGCCATTATATACACAATTTTCCCCTTGTGGGTTATTTAAAAAAATATCTCATAGACTTACACTGAAGGAGTGATTCAAGTAATATTTAGGGACTAAAATATTATAGAGACTTGGCAAGGGCTCTTTTAACACTTTAGGCTTGTAAGCAACCACCTGGAAACAACCTAGAACACCCTAGCAACCACATAGCACAATGCACTAGGCCTAGCAGCACCACTCATGTTTTATTCAGAAACTACAAAATCATATGGTCTTAAATCATCAGCAAATCCTACATAAATTTCACTGGTTTTGTATCCTGCTTGACTGTGATAGTTACACTATCGTTCAAAAGTTTGCAGTCATTTATTATTATTATTTTTTTAAACAGGGATGCATAAAACTGATCAAAAGTGACAGTAAAGGCATTTATAATATTACAAAAGATTTGTATTTCAAATAAATGATGTTCTTTTGAACGTTCTATTCATCAAAGAATACTGAAATTTTTTTTTTATCAATGTATCAAAAGCAGCAAAGCTGTTTTCAACATTGATTATAATAAGATATATTTCTTGAGCACCAAATCGGCATATTGCAATGATTTCTGAAGGATCATGTGACACTGAAAACTGGGCTAAGGGATGCTGAAAATTCAGCTTTGCCATCACAGGATTAAATTACATTTTAGAATATATTAAATTAGAAAAAAGGTTATTTTAAATTGTAAAAATATTTCACAATATTGCTGTCTTTACTATATTTTTGACCAAATAAACACAGTCTTGGTGAGCATAAGAGACTTCTTTCATAAAACATGAGCTTTATCCAAGAACTCTACTGTAATTTCCTGATGTTCCAACAATTTCAGTTCCAAATGCTTAATCTCACTCCTCCAAAAGGGATACGATATGATTATACAGCCAGTCAGACTGGAAAACTGGAGATTTCAAAAGGGCCCAAGTTTGGTGACCCAGTTTAAGACAGATGGTAAAACGTTTTACCTCACAAAAAAGGCATGACAATGGATGATGACTTTGATAGCAAACAATCAAACTACAATAGCAAAGTGCAGGTTTCCACTTTTGAAAGATATATGCTATTGATCAAACAAGCCATTCAAACCCTATTAAACTCTATTTTAAAAATCTGATGGTTATTTAATCTTAATGTGTAACAGCAAAGTCCCACTCCAGCCATTAGTCCAGACCTCTGAGAAAAGCAGTGTTACCTCATCCTTAATCACAACAGCGTTCTATTTTGGCACTTGAAAAACCTGTTTTATTATCTTGATGAAAACAGTTGTATAAATTATTAAAGTGTGGAAGTCACAATACAATGTCTCTTCTAAAGTCTAAGAGATTTTTTGTTTCTGAAGTGAATAAGCTGAAATAGCTGAAGAGATGAAAGAAGAATAAAGAAAGTGAAAATCTAACCAGAGAGAGAAGCTCAGATGTACAACAACTTTACATTTCTTTTCAATAAATTGACAGCTAGAATGCCAAAGGTTTTAACAGTGATCATTATTGCAAGTAAAGAACTGTTTGAAGAACAGAAGGTGTGATGAGTTTAACAGTCTTAGTAACATAGAAGCACACATTTCTGTGAAAAACATCATTTTTAAAAGGATATTAAGCATTCCCCTTAGCATTCCTGTAAAATTAGCCTAAAATGCCTAAAAAAGGCATACCCAAAGTAAATTGCATGCTGTTCTTGAACCATTTGGAGTATATGCATGGTTTTGGTTTTGAAAGGTGACACTGGGGTTTGTTCCTAAACAGAACAAATCACTGTAAGTCTTACTGGTATTGAGTAATAGAACTTTGAACACACTGACGGAATGAAAAACCATTCAGTCTATATTTTTTAGTAAACCGATGCATGCAGATAACTATAGCTGGGAGCTATTAGCTGGAAAACACGATGGGATCACAACAGGAAGCCTTGTTGAAATGAAGAATGTCAGCCTTCCACAGATATGCGACATGTTTAGCCGTTTTTTGTTTTTTTTTTAGTTGTTGTATGTCACGAAGTTAACCCTCAAAAACACGCAGTGGAACACTAACAGGTTAAGGTATTGATGGTGGTACTTACACAAGTGAACAGCAGGGCCCCGAGCGAGGCGTAGACAATGTGCAGAATTTTATTTTGGATGAAGATGCAGAGGAAAGAGGCCAGGAGCAGGACAATCAGACAGACAAAAAGAACACCCCAGCAGGAAGTGAAGTCATATTTGCTCTATTTTTGAAAAAGAGAAGGATAATGACAATCAGTGGTGTTTACCGCATGCAAAGGATGCATGGAAGACATGATAAAACCGCCTAGCTCAAAAGTTTGAAAACTAAATTGGCCGCCATTGAATGTCCACAAACTATACTTGAACTATACTTTCAAATCTTTACATGCTGTCATTATAATCATGAGATGTTGTTCGGTAAAATAAAGCGTGTATAAAATAAAATAAAGGATGAAAAACTATGAGACTGCTACAGTGAGCAAACAAACCTCATGATAAAACCGCCTAGCTCAAAAGCTTGAAAACTAAATTGGCCGCCATTGAATGTCCACAAACTATACTTGAACTATACTTTCAAATCTTTACATGCTGTCATTATAATCATGAGATGTTGTTCGGTAAAATAAAGCGTGTATAAAATAAAATAAAGGATGAAAAACTATGATACTGCTACAGTGAGCAAACAAACCTGCAGTGAGAAAAGCACAACTGTGAAGCAGACCACCGCAGTGATGCCTACTGCCATGATAACTGCATCTGTATCATAGTAGCTGGCAACCATTCCAACCATATAGGACAGACTCAGGGTCAGGATGGACTGAGAAAGAAATACAGGAAGGGGTCAATCAGTACAGAGTAAACAAACCTAAACCTAAACCTAAATATAAACTTAAAGAGTTAATTATATATTAAACATTAAACATAATGCAAACAACTAATTTTTAAGTTCACAAACCATATAAAAACATGATTGCATATGTTTTCTTGTACAGTGCAGAATGAAAACACTAAATAATGTGTAAGTATAGGCAGTTGTAGTACCAGTGCCACCAGGTTCCATGGGTGTTTGCGGCGAAACTCTCCACAGCAGCTGAGAGCGATCAGTGAAACAAAGAAGATAGCGTAGGACACATAGTACGTCCACTGATTTCTCCGTACAAACACTTTGACATCAGTTGAAAAGGTGAAAACGGCAACAAAAGAGAAGGTGATCAACAGCTGCACGGTCAAGACCATAAACACCTGAGAACAGAGTCACGAAACAGTGTTTTTCTTTGACACACTGTACTGCTACATACAATAGTTACGTACACATTTTACAAGACCATTTGTTACATTTCTTCATTCATTCCAGGAACTGTGTTTAATACACATATTTGACATTTATCTGTGTGTATACTGTACAGTCTGTAATAAATGCATGTTAAATGCGTTACATTTTTAGAACTTTTATTTAATTTAATTCCTGATATTTGGCCATTTTTAGACTATCATAACTGACCATTAACTCGTGCCTGGCTAATAAATAAAAGTTGTAGTCCTCTTTGTGCCAGTTTCAGTATCAGCATTGGCTTTTTAAAAACACATATCGGTCAACCATGAGTCCACACGTTTGTTGACCAAAAATGACAATAAACATTACTTTGACTTTTAAACACTGAGGACAGAGAGATTGTTATTAAGAATGTATTGATACTCACAATACAATTACCTATTTCACATTAGAACCACAACCACATTTCCACAGTTATTAGCATTGTAAATATCGCAACTCTTTTTAATTTTAATTTTTAAGAAATGTAATCCACATTTATTGTTATATTACCTTGTCATTCAATTACAAAAAAAACAGTTCAAACTGCCGTAAGGGTTTTTCCTAATTTTTTGAATACAGCACAATAATAATTGTTTTATATATATGTAATATATATGTATATATATATATTTAAGCAAATGAGAATGCTAAAAAGAAAAATTATTCTATGACAACTTCCGCTTCTGAGAACCCTGGAAATGTGACAAGGTTCCATTCTTGCTCACTTTACCTGGATCACAAGACTCTTTCTACATATCCATTTCAAATCAATTAAATAAAAATAAATAAATAAAGACCCCACCTGAATTTGTCTCTTAAGCCCAAAGTATACTTCGTTTTTACTGCTTACCTTTCTAATGAAGGCCTGTCGGATACTCTTATCTTCCCAGCCAGAGTTCACAAACTCATCATTGCCATAGTAAGAGGGGGGTCCATCTGCACCGTTGTATCCAGGGCTCTCCACAGAAGCTGTCAAAAAAAACAAATACAAATAATACATGTGATGGGTGAAATCTAATGTATGTTAAAGCCCTCACAACATTCTAATGTATTTAAATCCGTCCAGTATGCTCATTCAATAAAACACCCACAGAAATGGAAAACTGAAGTACAGGACAGATTTAAACAGTTTTATAGGTTTGAAAAGGAAAGCACATTTTATAGTATCTACACCAACAGCACCAGCTAGACGTTGTAATAATACACTTGAAAAGACATCCTAATTGTTACAGCAGGCACTAGTGATAAGTTAAGAAAGGAACAGTCCTAACAGAGCTAGTAATCTTTTGTTGAAACTCTCTGGCAAAGCACTTTACCTTGAATAACCCTCAGGAGGACAGAGTACACACTGACTAAACACGCTTATTCAACCTGGCAACACCTGAACTCAGCAGGGACACCACTCACTACTCCTAAGAGAGTAACACTGAGGCTTATCTGTCGTTAGAAAACTAAATTGCTCAACCTGTGTACAATATTTTAAAGAACTTCAAGTAAAATCTTAAAGTGGTCATTTCAAGAAGACCAAAAAAAACTGAGTTTTTCCTCTCCTGTAAACTTCCTAATGGTACTTACCATTAGAATCTACACCAAAGGCAGGCTGGCCGGGCCCCTGCTGGTATGGACTCTGAGGGTACGGCCCCTGAACGTAGGGCCCCTGTGGGTACGGCATCTGTGGATATGGCATCTGTGGGTACGGACTAGGGCCGAACCCTGGTGCTGGAGGCTGGTCGTAACCGGGCTGGCCGTAGGGTCCTGGTGCTGCATATGGAGGTGCCCCTGGGCCCTGGCTATAGTTGGGCGGAGGCATTCCAAAGGCATCAGTTTTGGGTGGCCCATAGACACTGTTGTGAAGGGGGTTATTCTCCCCCATTATAGGATAGTTTGGCTTGTCCTGGGACATGTCTCCTTCCCTCACTGGAATCCTGATATTGACAGAAAACAGAAAGGTTAAAATGTACAACAAACATTATGGAAAGCCAAAAGTAACCAATTTGGAACGCTGTAGCTCAGTAGTATTGAAATAGTTGATTTCAAGAGAGAATGATGTTAGCATGTTGCTAAGCTAACAGCCTGATACTCTATTTGTGTAATACCTGTAGGCCCCTATGTGTCTTTGTATGCTTATTAGTGGATAAAATAATATTTTCAATTTATCTGATTTTAAATAAATTAAACAATCTGATATCATTTTGATATAAAAAAAATACTAATACAAATAATTCAAATAAAAAGATGTTATACATTTGACTAGTTTCAATATGCAGTGCAGCTGCTTTTGTAAAGTAAAGTGATAGCTACATTAAAGTCATCATGAAATGGAAGTAGCAACACATCTTTTTTCCTATACTGTAACATACAGATTCATAAAAAAAAGTGTCTGTTTTAAGCTGACACAATGATTAGAGGACTCCAGCATGCCTGTCCCAGAGAAAAGTCTGTTGGCTGAATTTTGTAAAAACAATTGAGGTATAAAAAAACCAGATGTATAGAAGAATAATTCACAATAAGATCAATAACATGCATTTAGTAAATTTAGGCTATAGGGTGAATTTTCATTTCTTGCCAACTTTCAAATTTAACTACTTTATATTTTAAAGTAGTTTGTGCAGGAGTTACACATCTTAAAAATAAAAATAAACAAACCAACAGTGAGCTGAGAGGGAAAAAAAAGTTTTGAATTGCTTGCTATGAATCCACTCCAGGAAAGATCATCTCTGCTTGTGATGATCTGATCAAAACAACTCTAACTGGACCAACCACAAGTAAACAATCCAGCTCTGTTTACTCAAAGATTCAGTTCATGCTGCCCACTGAATAATGGTGCATTTCAACACAAAAGGGGTCACCAGAAGGCAGAGCTTTGTGAGCTGCGGTTTTTCAGAGAGAAAGTAACTCCTTACTTTCTCTGTGAAAAACTGCAACTCACAAAGCTCTGAATCACTTTCAGTTTCACTTTTCAGCAGAGGACTGAGGACATATGATTGCAGGTGCTCACACAGCTTCCTGGTAACCCAGGTTGTGCAGCTGAGAGAGAGGGGTTGCTATGGACACTGATGTTGAAGCATCTGAATACATGAGTTCATTTAAACATGTCAAAGTGTGACTATAGTGTTTTTTTAAGTGAGTGTTAGATGACAGAGAGGTCCATATAAATGTAAAAATAGGGGAAATTAGCATGGCCAACTAAACAACTACTACTACTAAAAAAATAAAAAATAAACTACTACTTGCAATCAATTTATAAAAACATAATGACTCTCTAACACATATATAATAATACTGTAAAATAAATGTCATTATGAAAAATCAGTAGTCTGTATAAGTATCTCTGTCCCCTTTAAGGGATTTCACTGAATAACAGCAGTTATGCAAAACCGTCCCATTTACTGTGGATGCCAAATCCCATGTGACTTGATGTCAGCTCAGCAGTCTGCCCAGCATTTAAGACCAGGTTATATTCAGTGGCCTGTTTTCCACTGTCCCCCTTCACAGCAGCAGGAATTAAATAAAGCAATTCCACATCGTTTTTTCAATGACAAATACAGTGACAAAAGTCTTGATCCTTTTAACACATGCAAGACGTCCAAAATTATGAATTTTTTTAGCTCTCAAACACCAGCTATTTATTTCCCGTTTTGAGTGATATATATATATATATAAATAATCACTCAAAACAGAAAATAATGGGTGGTGTTTGTTGTTGTATTGTAGTATTTGGGATGTCAGCTTCTGAAAAACACAAGCTATTTTTTGTGTAATCTGCAAATCACATCAGGGTGCTCTGTTAAATCTATGCAGTGTTGAAAGCTCTCCAATTCATCAACATCCCTGTCTGTTTCTCTCTCAAACTACAAATTAAGCGGCTTAAAATGTTGCTAAGATCTGTGCTGCTGGTTGCTATTAGATCACCACACTTTTCAAGAATCAGTCAAGTTTGAGGCTGTTTTTTAGACTTGTAACCCTGCCTGATTCCAGCGTTTTATTTCCAGCTTTATTTTAGCTCAGCAGGAAGGGTTTCCACAGGTTCATGTTTATGACTGGCCTAGGGAGTTACTGGAAATGAAAAATAACATTTGACTGTTCAGTGAGAATCAAATTACTTCAAAGCAGAGCTTTAAATCTATGACTCGTTAGATTAGCTATGGAGAGTCTTTAATCAATAACAACTCATGTTTTTTGAGTTCGGCTTTAAGAAGTAAACAAACTCAGGTCACTTATGCCATTGTGGCTTGATGACTCCTTAAAAATCAAAACATTTCATAGTTTCAAGAACATTTAAGACTTAAGAAACCTTTTCCACTATAAACAACCTTGGAATGGAAAGGTTCCATGGATGTTAAAGGTTCTTCATGGAAACATAGATATCAATAAAGAACCTTAATTTCTGAGAGTGTTGATGCACTCAGCATCAGAATGTGGCAATGCAAACAACAAACTTAAACATGTATCTTGCCCATGGTTATATGTCTGCAATTGTATATGAAGGCAATTTGCTAAAAATAACAAGTTAGCATTTTATTTAAATCCTGCAGAGACTATAAACTTTGTCTATAATTATATCTATCAACCTTATTTTTAACATGAGAGCAGGTGCAGACATTTTTAACTTGAATGTGTGCTGCTTCCGGTGTCAGTCACTTCCAGTTATTTTAGCTGTACAAAAACAGTCGGTCATGTTGCTTGATCTTGCAAATTGGTATTTGTTATCAGATTATTTTAATTTATTACCATAATCATAAACACATTGATTTATAGTGCAAATAGTTTTATTGTTTCAATTAGTTTATTTCAATTTGTTATTCTATACCTATAGCAGCTAATGAATCAGAATTCTCAATTCACATTTAAATAAATTGTTGTTCAAATAATGCTTGTTGATATTCATATTTTAATAAAGTCATGAAACTGGAACATGGGTACGTATTGATGATGATATAAGGAGATATATATGTAAAATTCAAGATTTAGTAAAAGATTCAAATTTTAAGAAATCACATAAATAGATGAAAAATAATTTTCAGAAGTTGCTAAACTTAGCAGCAGTGGTGTATAAAGTACCTGAAACCCATACTCAAGTAAAAGTACAGATATCTTACCAGAAAATGACTTTGGTAGAAGTTGAAGTCACCGTTTAGAATATTACTTGAGTAAAAGTCTTAAAGTATGTGAGATTGATTGTACTTAAGTACGAAAAGTATTTTTTAAATCTTAAACGTACTTAAGTATTGAAAGTAAAAGTACAAGTAAATGCAAAATGGAAAAGAAGCAAATAAAGCAGGAAGTGACTGTTAATCAGTGAGTCATTGAGATTCAACTGATTCATTCAAACAACTGATTCATTCAGAAGTTAATGAGTGAATCGCTGAATCCTTTATTCAACCAATTCGTTCAAAAAGCTGATTCAATCAATAAGTAAACACCGTCCATTGCTCAGAGACGCAAAACATTGCTGTGATCTTTGTTTGGAACTATTTTCGTTTATCGGAGTAAAAGTATACATTTTAATTAGGAAATGTAGTGAAGTAAAAGTAAAAGTTGGCTGAAATACAAAAACTCAAGTAAAGTACAGATACTCCCAAAAAATACTTAAGTACTGTAACGAAGTATTATTACTTCGTTACATTACACCACTGCTTAACAGTAATGGAATGGATGTGGATGTCAACACGTGTAGGAAAAATTAGATGTAAAAGAGCAACAGCTAGAGAAGTCTCTGAGGACTGTTGTCCTATGGTGATTCAATTCAGTCTAGGAAAGGTTACAAAAGGAGAAAAATCCTCTTAGGTGACTTGTGGTGGAAAAACGAAACAGGCACTTTACTTGGCTACTGAAGAGGGAATTATATGGAAGGAATACTGCTTCAGTGAGCCAAACACCTCACAGTTTGCACAAATCACTAAGCATTAGTGAACAGGGTTACAGACCTAAACCTAAATCTGTTTGCATATTTAATTTCTTTCTTCTTACATATAAAAACTGGGCTAAACTGTGTTTGGGAGCCACACTCAAAACAACAAACTTGGCTATTTTGAGAAACAGTGACAAATAAGCAATGCAGATTAGGCAAAAAATAAAATTATTAATCATTAGAATATGAGTGAAGAATAAAATTAGTACAAACCCTTCTAATTAATAGTCGACCGATATTGGGTTTTTTTGACAGCCGATGCCAATGCCGATATCTTGGAAAGCAGGGTGGCCGATGGCCTATATAAAGCCAATATAATTTTATTTATTTTAAATAATATTTAAGAAATTTGAAATCATTTAAAAATGGATTAAAAAATAAATGTGTTAAATAAACATACTTATACTTTAGATGACAAAGTATTTTTCACAAATAAATAAATATTTAATAAAAATATAATTAAAAA